GGTCGGTCTTGCAAGACTTGGCAAGACCCTGAACATTCAACGTGGCGTGAGCGCCACAGTGAGCACAATGCACAACTCCCCGCAGCACTCGGAGGCTATGGTTCCTGGCACAACTGGGGTACAGAGGGTGGGCAGACGGGTCAGCCGAGAGGTGGGCGGGGCCAGGGCAAGAACCTGTGCGAAAGTCATGGACGCGACCTCTGAGGCTGAAACGGCGTGCGCACATCTGACACTTCAAAAATGAACCGACTTTGCGCGGCTCATCATGGCCAGCACTCCGCAACCTCTGTTTCCTGACAAGGAAGGAGGGGATAGGGGGAGGGAGCGGTGGCGGGCGGCCGAGCCGATCCGAGGTCCTCCTCGGGTTGGCTTCAAGAACTTCTTGATGCACCGCCAGTCGGCGGTCAAGCGTGTGAGGAGTCACCCTGTCTACATACAAGGTGAGGCCAACCTGTTCTTGGTAAGCCAGTTTTTCTTGCTTGGTGGCGTACTCGACCTTCTTGGCCAGCTCAGTCTGCGCAATAGCTGCGAGCTTGTCCAGCTCGCTGCCTGAAAACACACGAACCTCAGGAACTGGAGGGGGTGCAGCTTCACGTGCCACACCAACCGGCGCAGGGTAATGGACATACCGCTTCTCCAGCTCTCGTAGTAGTTGTGGAAGCATTGGAACCGCAGCAGCGCCACAAGCACCTCCACCCATATCCCAGCCACCATGACTAGGAGCAGCGTAGTCAGACGTGTACTTGTACTTGCCACCGCACTTGCTGCAGGCGCGGTGACCGTGGTGCGTGAACTCCCAGTGATTGCAGACAGAGCAGACCTGGTACGAGCGATCCTTGTCGTTCTTCTTCTTGTAGCTGGCCTTGGGCACTGACTGCCATACCCAAGAGCCACCGCCATCAGCAGCGTGCCAGGGCGCGCGGCCGCGCCACGACATGCCGCAAACATGTACACTGAGTGTAAATGAAACTGCCAGACCGCCAAGGGTCTTGCCTGCCGCGGACTAGCGGTATCCGTGCGTGCCAATGCGGGCTCAGCCCGCCAAAACATTAGCCTTGAGCCAAAATGGCTACGGACAAGGAGGAGGAGGAGAGGAGGAGGGGGAGGGGGAGGGGGAGGAGGAGGAGGAGGAGGAGGAGGAGGAGGCGGAGGCGGAGGCGGAGGCGGAGACGGAGGCGGAGGAGGGGGAGGAGGAGGAGGAGGAGGAGGAGGAGGAGGAGGAGGAGGAGGAGGAGGTGGAGGAGCAGGAGGAAGAGGAGCAGGAGGAGGAGCTCTTCCAGTGCTCTTTCATCTTCAAAATCGTCGAATATGGCCACCGCGCCGCTGCTCTGCCCGCGGCGTGGCGCGGAGGTCGCGCCAGGCCGCGCATCCTGCCGCCGCTGGGTCCGCTTCGCTCCTGCGGGCGGCGGTGGCTGCGGCTGGGGCCCCTCGAGCAGCCCGCGGAGCTGCCCGAGCGCTAGCAGCGGCGGCAGCGTGGGTTTCAGGTCGTGCTCCGCGCGCAGGTCGGGTCTCCTGGCGCCGTCTCTGGCCCTCGCCCTTTCTGCCTCGAGCTGCCTCCGTGCGGTCTCCAGCCGCATGCCGTCCTGCATCCGCTGGCCTCCTTCAGCTTCCTTCAGCGGCTTCTCATCGTCGTGGGCCGATGCGCTTCTCGCCGCTGCAAGGAGTCTGGTCTTCCTCTCCTCAGTCTCCGTCTCGCTCAGCTGGCCCGCTTCAGCCTCACCGAAGCAGCCTTGCTCCTCCTCGCGGGCCCCTCGCCGCTGGACGGGTCCGCCCCATTATCCCTCGCGGAGGGCCCCCCTGGCCATTGCTTTGGCCAGAGGTGGGATGGGGGTCCTGTCGGCGTTGCCTCGCGATGCTTCCGCCGCTGGGCGGATCCCTCCCGTAATCCCTCGCTGGAGGGCCCCCGGCCATTGCTTTGGCCAGAGGTGTGGGGGGGGTCCTGTCGGCGTGGCCTCGCGCTGCTTCCGCCGCTGGGCGGATCCCTCCCATTAGCCCTCGCCGAGGGGCCCCTTGCCACTGCTTTGGCCAGAAGTGGGAGGGGGTCCTGGCGGCGAGGGCGGCCCAGGTCGCTGTCGTGCGCCGCGTCGTCCCGCTGTTGCTGTGCGCCGCGGTCCTGGTCCGCAGCTGCCTCTCTCTTCTCCTCGCCAAGCCCTCGCCTCTGGACGGATCCTTCCCATTTTCCCTCGCTGAGGGGCCCCTGGCCACACCTTGGGCCAAAGCTGGGAGGGGGTCCTGTCGGCGTGGGCGGCCCTGGTCGCCGCCGAGCTCCGCGTCGTTGTCGCCTTGGTGCATCTCGTCGCCCAGGTCGTCCCTCAGGTGTTGCACGCCTGTCCTGATCCGCAGCTGCTGCTGCTCTCCTCCTCGCCAGGCCCTCGTTTGGCTTTTTGTGTACAACAAAAAGACACAACGGAGCACTTCCTTCAGTGAGAGTGACCCCTTGTGGGGGCCTATGAAGAAAGAGCTTGGAGGGAGGATGTATTACAACAGCGTTGATGAGTCGTGGGTTTGCAGTGGTCCCCTTCCCTGTTCCTCCTCCTCCTCTTCCGCCTCCTCCTCCTCCTCTTCCTCCTCCTGCCCCCTTCTCCTGCTACATCCTTCTCCTCCATTTCCTCCTTCCTCGTTCCAGCCTCCTCCACCCCGTCCTCGGCATCCTCCTCCCTCCTGGACCCTTCCTCCCTTTGCACTTGGAGGAGGGACCAGGATAAAGGAGGGTAATACGAGGAGGAGGAGGAGGAGGAGGAGGAGGAGGAGGAGGAAGGCGGAGGAAGGAAGTATGAAGATGAGGATGAAGAGGAGGAAAGGAAGCGGTGTAGAAGGGACAAGGAAGGAAAGAGCAAGGGAAAAAACGAGGAAGGGGACGAGGATATTACAAACAACAGACGGGGAGAGGAGGAGGGAGGGGCGGGGGAAACAGCAGGAGGATGAGGAAGACAAGGGGGAAACTAAGGATGTGAACAACCATAGCGAGGAGGAGGAGGAGGAGGAGGAATAGGAGAAATAGGAGGAGGAAGAGGAGAAAAAGAGGTAGGATGAGGAGCAAGAGAAATAAGAGGAGGAGCAGGAGGAGACGGAGGAGGAGGAGGAGGAGGAGGAGAAGGAGGAGGAGGAGGAGGAGGAGGAGGTGGAAGAGGATGGGGGACGAGGACGAGGAGGACGAGGACTAAGGAGGACGAGGAGGAGGAGGAGGAGGAGGAGACAGAATGAGGAATACATCTGCGAAAGATGGAAGGGAAGAGAAAGGTCGAGGGGAGGAGGAGGGCCTCCCTCCGACCCGCCCTTCCCTCCTCCCGCGCAGGGCGCAGCCGCCAGCCGACGAAGAGCCGCCATGGCGAAGGGCGCCTTGGCCGCCCGCGGGCGCCGCGCCGGCCGCGGCCGTCTCGGGGCCGACCAACCGAGACATCGGCGGACTTGCAGAGCAAGGGGCCCAGATCCAAGGTGACTATCGGAAGATCAAGGCGGCATTCTGCTCGCTGCCATGGGCCCTGGGGGGCCTTCGCCGGGCGTCCGGGCCATCAGGGAGCTGTTCGGGATGAAGAGCCGCTCCAGGGGAATGGATCGAGACCTCTGGGGGTCCACCCTGTGGGGAAGATCTCGGCATTCCAGAGCGAGGGAAGCGAGGGGGATCGATCGATATGTGTGTGTGTGGGCGTTTTCCAGCCTCCTCGTCGCGACGGCTTGAATCCCGTTTAAAGCTTCCGGCCAAAACGTTCCCCTGGGAGGATCTACGGGCCGGCTTTTTGACACCCGACCCGAAAGGTCCTCCAACCGTTGGACGCTCTTTGTCAGTCGCATATCCAGACGGCATATGCGTGTATACATATATATAGAGAGAGAGGGAGAGAGAGAGAGAGAGAGAGCTTTCAGTCCGGGCGTTTTCCCCACCGTTCGACCGCTGGGGCGACTTCTTCGTGCAGCGGGCCGATCGAAGATGAATCCGGGGCGTCAACTGGCCGCAGGGAAGGGGTCGGGACCACTGGGGCTGCGCATTTCAAGAGTCACGCCGCCAGACGTCTAGGCCGGCGGCCTTCTGGGGCGAGGGGCAGAGAAGGAGAAGAAACGAGAAGGAAGGGGAGGAGAAAGAGGAGGAGGAAGAGAATGAAGGAGGAGGGGAGGGAAAAAAACAACGCAAAGAAGGAGAAGGAGAGGAGGGGCAAGGAGGGGATGGTAGCAACGCGAAGGAGGAGAAGGAGGGGAAGGCAGGGGAGGAGGCGGAGACAGGATATGGCAGGTTCCCCCCCTCCCCTCGTCCGAAGACGCAGTGCCGAGCTCGCTCTTGCCCTTGAGGCAACTCTTCCAAGGAAGCTCAGGCGTCGACCCGCTGATGCTACGGAGCAAGCTCTACGACAGCAGTCGTGTAATCAAAGAGGAGGAGGAGGAGGACGAGGAGAAAGAGGAGGAGGAGGAGGAGGGGGAGGAGGAGGGGGAGGCGGAGGAGGAGGAGAAGGAGGAGGATACGGTGAAGGGAACAGCAGGAGGGGGAGGAGGAGGCGGAGGAGGAGGAGGAGGAGGAGGAGGAGGAGGGGGAGGAGGAGGAGGAGGAGCTGAGGGACGGGAGCCGCGGTGCCCAGGCCGAAGCCTGCGGTGCCCAAGGGAGCCCCAAACCACAAGACGGCCAAAGAGGGGCTAAAGACCGCCACTTGTGGGACCCCTCGAGCCATCTGGGGATCGTTGGAAGCCCTCCAGCACCGTCCTGGGGACATCTTGAAGCTATCTTGGTCTTGGGACGTCCAAGCACCCTGTTTCCGCTCTCTTTCGCCGTCTTGGATGCCCCGCACAGGCACTCGCAGGCCCCCGTGGGCGCCCGCAAACCCAATGGCAAAGATCAAGTTGTCCTTCCAACTCCACTTCTTTCCCTCATCCCACGCATGCGAGGCCCGTGGGTGCCCCTCCCGGGCAATTGGTGCACTCGTTGGGGTTCTCGTGGGCTGCCTTGGACTCCTATACCGCCTCCCGCCATTCATGCTGCCTTCCTCATCCTCCACCAAGCATTTTAACATCTCGCGGGCGTGACATTCGCTGCGCTTTTCACCGAAGCCGAAGCAAGCACGTTCCAAAAACGTGTGGCGACAACTTCTGCCCCATGAAGGGGGTGAAGATGAACAATGAACGGAACACAGCACGGGGAGCTCCCGCGACAGCCGCAGTCTGCTGTACAGGGTGGCTGTCCACCTCTGCGAGCAAAACGTAATGCGCCTGGGAGAAAAATGATGGAATTGTAGACACTACACGTACGCACATCAGAAACGATCTGAACAACACGGCCATCATACAGATGGCGAGGCAGCAGCTGTAGTCTGAAGCACGGGAGCAAACAAATACCACAACCGATTGAGACTACATCACAGCCACCCTCGGCCATCTTGCAAGACCAACCGAGACATCATCATGACGGGCTAGTGTGGCCCACCCTCGTCCTCCTCCTCCTCCTCCTCCTCCTCCTCCTCCTCCTCCTCCCCCTCCTATCCTCCTGTGTTCCCTCCCCAGCCCCATAGTCCTCCTCCTCATGATGATCCCCCTTTAGCCTACTCCGATTCCCTCCTCCCTACTGGGTAGTCCTCCTCGTTCTCCTCCCCCTCATCGCCGTCATTCTCGTGAAAGCGGACGCCACTGCATCTTATCAAGGGAACTGGATGCTCACAAAGCAAGCACGCGGAAATGAAAGTCTGGTCAAATCCAGATTCGAGTCGGAACAGGCCACCCGCGATGCCTCAAAGGCCATGGGAGCCTCTCCCTTCTCCGTCTACCCAGCAGTTCTCCGGCGGCAGACGTCCCCGAGTCCTCAGATCTGGCCCGCGGAGCCTGGGGCCGGTGGAATGAACAAAACGATCCGCCGCCGAACTGGGCACGGCTTGTCGGATCACCACCGCATGCTCTGCAAGGAGTGTTCCTCGTGAGTCCTCTCGCGACCGCACTTTTCAATACGGACCCCTGCCCCTGCTATGGCCAGGATGTCTCACTTTGGACACGTCCGCAGTGATACGAAACAACATTGCATAGGTATGTCGATACCATTTTGATGGGCCTGTTTTTCACCACCTCCACCACCATAAGTTGGAGGGAGGAAGGAGGTGGAGGACGAGGAGGAGGAGGAGGAGGACGAGGAGAAAGAGGACGAGGAGGAGGAGGAGGAGGAGGAGGAGGAGGAGGACCCCCTGCCCCTCCAACTTATGGTGGTGGTTGTGGAAAACAGGCCCATCACATTTGGCGATGAGCCTTGCCACCATATCAACTGATAGCCGGATCCCTGCCCCTCAACCTCTCCGAACCCTCCCGGGGTCTAACCCTTGGGGCCGCTTACCCCACCGGCCCGAGGGCCTCGGGCCGAGGTGCGCCCTCTGACCTCCTCCTCCTCCCCCTCCTCCCCCTCCACCTCCTCCTCCTCATCCCCCTCCTCCTCCTCCACCTCCTCCTCCTGCTGCTGCTCCTCCTCCTCCTCCTCCTCCTCCTCCCTCCTCCTCGTCCTCCTCCTCCTTGTCCTCCTCCTCCTGATTCCCCTCCTCCTCCTCCACCTCCACCTCCTCCACCTTCTTCTCCTCCTCCTTTTCCTCCTCCTCCTCCTCCTCCTCTTCTCTCCCAAACGGCACCCGTTTCAGGTGCTAGGCTTCTGGGTGCCGCGGGGCTCTCTCGCATACCTTTCCAATAGCCTCCCAAAAGCTGGTTCTGGGGGCCTCTCGGGGCCCTCCTGGGCGCATCTTGCCAGTCATTGGTGCCACCTTGGGCCGTTCCGGATGCCGCTCTACCTTCGTTTGGGTTCGAAACACCTGCAACGCCCGATTGGTTTGGATCCAACACACCTGCAACGCCCGATGAACAAACAACACACTAAAATTCATCAGGTTCTGACGATTCCAGCCGTCTCGGGTTTCTCCTTCCATCTTGCAATCTGCGGATGCTCTCTGCGGCTGTCCTGACTGCCTCTCGGGCCCCCCACGAGATATCTGCGCCTTCTGGGCACCTTTTTCGGTCGTCCTGGGCGCCCCCCTGGGAGCCCCCCTGGAGCTCCTCCAGGAGCCGAAAAAGCAAGTATCGATACCCTTTTCTCCCTCCCGTTCCCCCGACCACCCCGCTCTGCCGTTTTCGCCTCATTTGTTTTGGTTGGAACACCATGTGGGACCTGCTCTAGGAAAGTAACATACCGTGGACGGCTATGCCCTTTTCTCCGACCCTGTGCAGTGCCGAACGCAACGGCCGAATTGTCCATAGACGTATCCACCCCAATGCGTCTATAGACGTCACGGCAACCAATGCTTCCATAGACGCTTCTGTCTAGAACGCGACCACGGCAGTCGGCACTGGCCCCGGATATTCCTATTTTGGAAGCAGGTCGACTTGGCCTCCAATTTGTTGGGCCCCTCTGGGCCCCCCAGCACGCTTTCTGGGTATGGAGGAAGCACCGAGGCGCCACTAGGTTTAGCTGATGTTTTCGGCCTGGCGGGCGCATGCTCGAAGGCGCCTTGTATTGCCATTTTTTGTTTCCGCGCCCACTAGGCCTAATTGATTTGCGCTTTACCTAAATCGCCACGCAGCATTATTTTCCGTACCATAACGCTACGTTGAGGTCGGACATATCCTCCTACACGCGGATGTTTGGTGGACCGAATATAACATTGTCAAACACTACCCCACATAGCCATCCATGGTAAACGAACCGTCCCCCAATTAGTTCTAATGTTTCCCATCCGTGCTGTGGTGTTGGGTCCTCGTTTTGAAGAGGCGGTCCCCGCGACCCTCCTCCCTCCTTTTTCCTCCGCCTCCCCCTCCTCCTTCCTCCCCCTCCCCCCTGCGTTTCGCTCACTTAATGCAAGCGCTTCGTGGCCCCATAAGGAACTCGACGGGATGCCCCAATGACCAGGTTCGCATGGCGGCCTCGGGCCGCTTCGGCACACCCCTCACGAGGATCGTGGCCCCACAGGAGCTTCGCCGAAAACCCCGGCGGCAAGGTTCGCATGGCGGCGCCGGGCAATTTCGGCACACCCCTCACGAGGATCGTGGCCCCATGGGGGGCTCCACCGAGAAGGCGCCAGTGGCTGGCGGCCTCGGGCCATTTCGGCACACACCGAACGAGCATCGTGGCCCCGTAGGGAGCTCAACAAAAGGCGACAGTGACAGGGTTCGCGTGGCGGCCTCGGGACATTTCGGCACACACCTCACGAGGACTGTGGCCCCATAGGAGCTCCGCCGAAAGCGCCATTGGCAGGGTTCGCGTGGCGGCCTGGGGCCACCTCGGCACGCCCTTCACGAGGATCGTGGCCCCACAGGGAGCTCCACCGAAGGCGCCAGTGGCAGGGTTCGCACGGCGGCCTCGGACCATTTCGGCACACCTCTCACGAGGATCGTGGCCCCATGGGGGGCTCGACCGAAGGCGGCAGTAGCAGGGTTCGCATGGCGGCCTCGGGCCATTTCGGCACTCCCCTCACTGAGGATCGTGGCTCCGCAGGGAGCTTAACCGAAGGCGCCAGTGGCAGGGTTCGCATGGCGGCCTGGGCCATGTCAGCACACCCCTCACGAGGATCGTGGCCCGTGGGAGCTCCGCCGATGGCGCCATTGGCAAGGTTCGCCTGGCGGCCTCGGGCCACCGCGGCGCACTCCTCACGAGGATCGTGGCCCCGCAGGGAGCTCCGCCGAAGGCGCCAGCGGCAGGGTTCGCACGGCGGCCTCGGACCCTCTCGTCGCACCCCTGCCGAGTAGCAGGGTTCGCGCGGCGGCATCGGGCCATTTCGGCACACACCCCTCGCGAGGATCGTGGCCGCATAGGGAGCTCCGCCGAAGGCGCCAGTGGCAGGGTTCGCGCGGCGGCTTCGGGCCATGTCGGCACACCCTTTCACGAGGATCGTGGCCCCATGCAGAACTCCACCGAATGCCACAGCGGCAGGGTTCGCACGGCAGCCTCGGTCCACTTCGGCACACCCCTCACGAGGATCGTGGCCCCACAGGGAGCTTAACCGAAGGCGCCAGTGGCAGGGTTCGCATGGCGGCCTCGGGCCACTGCGGCGCACTCCTCACGATGATCGTGGCCCCGCAGGGAGCTCCGCCGAAGGCGCCAGTGGCAGGGTTCGCATAGCGTCCTCGGACCCTTTCGTCGCGCCCCTCGCGAGAATCGCGGCCCCATGGGGGGCTCCGCCGAAGGCGCCGGTGGCAGGGTTCGCGCGGCGGCCTCGGGCCATTTCGGCACACACCCATCGCGACGATCGTGGCCCCAAAGGGAGCTCCGCCGAAGGCGCCATTGGCAGGGTTCGCGCGGCGGCTTCGGGCCATTTCGGCACGCCCCTCACGAGGATCGTGGCCCCATGCGAAACTCTACCGAATGCCCCAACGGCAGGGTTCGCACGGCAGCCTCCGTCCACTTCGGCACACCCCTCACGAGGATCGTGGCCCCACAGGGAACTCCGCCGAAGGCGCCAGTGGCAAGGTTCGCATGGCGGCCGCGGGCCATGTCGGCACACCCTTTCACGAAGATCGTGGCCCCATAGGGAGCTCCACCGAAGGCGCCAGTGGCAGGGTTCGCATGGCGGCCTCGAGCATGTCGGCACACCCCTCACGTGGATCGTGGCCACATAGTTGCGCTGCTTCAACAACCGCGCCTGGGCGTCGTACTCCGCCGTGTCGACGTGCAACGCCACCTCCTCCCTCATGGCTCTCAGAGCCGTCTCCTGCTTCTGTTCCTCGGTCAGAGGGACGCCGTCCTCGTCGTCGTCGTCGGCGCCCGCGAAAACGGCCACGAACGTGTCCCTGAGCGTGTCGGGCTCTGGCGGGAAGCCGAGGCACGTCCCTCACGCGCGTCGTGGCCTCATTGGGAGCCCCACCGAAACCGGAACCCACAACACGTTATTCACAACACGGATATTCCTCATGTGAAAAGGACAGGCCCGACTTAACGCTACGTGGTGTTGCATCGAGTCCAGGCCTCCTTGCGGCTGGCCTGTCGGCCTACAGGGCCCTCCCCCGCCCCAACAACCCGGTGGGGCGGCGCGGCCTGCCTTCCCCCATCGGGGGCGCTCCA